AAAAAAAAAAAAAAAAACTTTTTGGGAGAATTTTTTAACCCGTAGGCGTTTCGTTCTCTAGGAGTGGACCTTCAGATACCCTGAAAATTTCGAATCTCTAGCACATCTCCTTTTAGTTGAACATACAGACAGACACGAGGTCGTTTGCATAAGCCCGCTGGATAGCTTTTTCAAAGAAGTAGGGCGGGCTAAAAAATGTACAACCCTGCAGGCTTAGTCGAAGTGACGGGCCTTTGACGGGCCGGAGGCCCGTATCTTTGTGTACATTTTTGCACTACCCGACTCGGGTGTCAGCGCCGCAGGCCTAGGTAGATGTATGCCAGGCGCGTCGCATCGTTACAGTGTTTTGTGAGATATCGTGAAGCCTGTTACGTGAGACGTGGTCTGGCGTACATCTACCTAGTTGGCTGAGCGATTAGCGAAGCCTGGCATACATCTACCTAGGCCTGCGGCGCTGGCACCCTAGTCGGGCAAAAGGCAGAGTCGTAAGTAGGCATTCTGCCCCAAAAAACACAAATGTTGTTCCTCGGGGTTTTATTTGAACAAGTTACACCCCCCCCCCCCTCGGTGAACATGAAATATCTGAGAAAAGTAACAATGTTATGCGGTCATTTTCGTGTAGAACCTTTGGTGCCTATACAGTTAAGGGTAGAGCCAAATGGATGACATTTTCGGTTGAAAGGGTCTACTTTGATGAGTTACCCCTTAGGAAACAGTAAAAAATGTCTTTTTAAAAAACGTCATTTTGGGGACTTGTGGTTTATGAATTTTTTAAATTCCAATTTTTCAGCTAGAATGCTCTTCTTTGAACTTGATCTGTCTTTTTACACAAAACGACCCTGAAAATCCCAATGACAGAAAACAGACAGACAGACAGACACACAGACAGACGCGAAACTTTTTGATCATCAGTGGAGTAATATGCTTCGCTGATCGCTTAGCCAACACTTGCATTTCTTTTGTATGTGACGTTGACAAACAAAAGCTTTTACTATTTTTCTACCGGCAATATTGGCAAAAATATAAATATAATAAGACCGAGTTGCAAAGCACGACGGAAAGGAGATCGAACTTTGTGTAACAACACATCGGACTTTGTCGTTAGGAGGCATTGCTCTCTTTCCACTTTTCTCACGATCTTGCGCTAGAGAGCGCTATGGACTGTGTGGTGCGGCCTCCTATCTCTCATGCTGCCTAAACAGGTGTGCTCTTGACTAACAGGTGGGCACTCGAAATTCATCGCTGTGCACTCTTAATGCACGTTCTGACAACTCACGTGAGGGCAACATTTTTTGCCAAACAAGGCAATCTACCAGTCAAGGTTCAGATCATAAGTCACGGACACTTTAGTTATTTTCCCCCAAAGCGTTTCAAAAGGCCCAGATATTCCCACATTTTCATTATTCTTTATACTATCGGGTAGGCAAAGCGGGCCTAGCTTGGCCTGCCGGAAGCGTTTGGCGGCACCTTCAAATGCTTTCATAGTGCTGCATAAGATTTCATTAGAGAACAGCCCTTCGGCCCGTTCTGGTGAAAACTCGGTTGGAACTACCTTACTGCCAGGCACATTTGCTTTACACGGTAAGCACAGTGTATCATTTTTTAAGGAAAAAGAGAAAAATTTAATTCCTGTATTTGAGGGAAACTCATCAGATCTCACCTCAAATTTTAGGAAACCTCAAAAGTTGAAAAATTTACCTTTTTTTGTGGAGAATTCCTCGGAATCTGAGAATTTTTTTATCCTAACCAAGGGAGTTTCTCAAAGTTTTCCCTTTTCCCTCCAAAAAATGAGACATTGTTTTACCGAGCACTAAGGAACTAAAACGTATCCACTACACCATTACTTCGATACACCGTGTTTGAAGAATACGTGCCCTCGCTGATTTTGACAAATCCCTTTTAATTTATTG